TGTGCATTTTAATTTTACTATAGCAAATAAGTACGGAGTACATTTTTTTCAAATTTCGGACTCCTTTCTCCCTTTTTCACTCCGCCTGAATTTGCTTAATTTTCACTCAAAAAATGTCCACTTTTGGAACAGTCAGTCAACTATCAAGAGTAGCCGAGTGCATCATCTGACCCACCCAAAACCAACCGTTGCCCTACTAACAAGCTAGCTACCCAATTGGACCACCGACACGTGGACCCCGACGTTCCTCCAGACCCACATGTCAGCTGGTTCACTTCCGCTCAGCCCACCAGGGATCGCATCTTCCCAAGCTTCAACCAAAGTTGGGAATATGGGACGAAACACACCCTTAGTTACCTCAATTTTCTGAATTTGGCACTATACAAAGAGAAGATTCTCTGTCACATAAACTTACGGTATATACATAGAGTACTAAATATTGATGAAATCAAAAACTAATTGCACAGTTTGGTTGTACTTTGCGAGACGACCGTTTTGAACCTAATTAGTCAACGATTGAACAATTAGTACCAAATACAAACGAAATGCTACGCTGCGCTACAGTGTATCTTGTTTTCAGGCGGCGCCAACCTCGACCGGAACTAAACGCGCCCTCGCTCACAGTCAAGTTGAGCCAGCAGCTCCAGCTACTGCATCACAAAAATAGGCCCCCCGTTCGTATCTCTGCGGTTGATCCGCGCTGCTCTCCTGTTCCAAGATGCATCCAGCCTGCAGTGCCACTGCAGAGGAGAGAGGCCTGCTGACCCATGACCGGCTGACCGGACGCCGGACGGGAGCCTCATCCGACCTCTGCCATTGCTCAAGGAAGATAGGCCTGCTGTCCACGGGAGTAGGAACGACTAGTACAGTGCTTCTGTCTCAGGGTCAACATGTCCAATCAGACCCGGGAATCCAGATTTTGGACACACTGTACCTCTTTCTACATTTTTTTTTTTGCAATTTGAGATTTGAACCGAACCGAAAATCACTGTGTGACTACATTTATGAGAAAAATAGTATCGATATTTATATCTTTATATAGATTTACTAGCAAAATGCATTATAGGATTAATACTTTTTTGGCATCATAAATGACAGTATTTTTTTATAGATTTGATTAATTTTAAAATTATTTAGTTCTTCGGAAATTGAGAATTTTTTTAAGCCGAGGAGAGAATAGCCATTTTTTTATCTAAAGTCTTGCACTGCTCCCTATCTCAAGTGGAGTATAGTACACACAGAAAAACGAAAGAAAGTGGTGATCTGGTACTACCGCAGAGGATTCTTGAAATTTGACTCCAAAATAGGACAAAAAAAACAACCAAATCTTGAAGTGAATGCAAATGCCATGATGGAACCATGGAGGATTGAAGCAAATACTGCAAGTGGGCGGGTGAGTGCACTGGAGAAGAGAAGACGTGCGCTTGAATGCTGATCATCATGAGTTCTTGCCTTGTGACAGTAAGAAATCTGTTGCCCATCTCCATCTCTGCTGGACTTTTACTCATGACATGGCTCCAACAGATTTTCCTGCAGAATTTACTGTAACAGATGGAGAAATTCTACAGATATTTTTGTCACGCTGCACCTCGACTCCAGTCTCCATAGCAATACTTTGACTGGACCAGAGTAGTAGTACCTGTGACAGGCCCTGAGGCAGTGCTGAGCTCACATTCCCTGCTTCCAGTGTCATCTGGTAATCGCCGAAACTGACATCTTAATAACTGCCCCAACTCACACGCTCCCCACCCGGCCATCTCCTCTTCACACAAGTACTTTTTTTTTTGTAGTAACGTACTTAGAGCCTATTTGACAGGGGCTTCTGCATGGGCTTCAGCTCCGGCTCCTGCAGAAGCTGTACCAAACGTCTGTTTTGAAAAGAGCTCTGCATGGAGAGCCGGTCAAGAGTCGGAGCCATTTTTTACCTGCGCAGGAGAAGCCTAAAAAACGAGCTTCGCGCGGCTCCTTGCTGTGGGTTCATGTCGTCTAGTGCGAATGAGCCGTTTTGCCAAACGTTTTTAAGAACGGCTTTAGCTCCTCCAGGGGAGCTGCTCCTTCAAAGGAGCCAGAGCCGGAGCCATTTTTAGAGAAGCCAGAGCTTTGCCAAACAAGCCCTTAGTATCATTATATTAGTTATTATAGAATATATATTTTTATAAGAAATTTATTTAAAGACATAAATGCTAATAACATTTACTATAAATTTGATTAAACTTGAGCAAACTTAACCATCACGGATCTCATAATTACATTCTTTTGTGGACGGAGGGAGCACTATAAGTTTAAAGTTATATAGCATAGGCGGAGCTAGCCAGGTGGCACACGTTGTGCCATGGACCTCTATAGAATTAGGATTAATTTTGGAACTACGTTATATGTTTTATACTATAATGAAGATTGTATTTAGAACACTCTATTATTTAGCTCATTACTGTCAAATAGACCACCCTTGCACTAAACTCTACGCTACCGTGTATTAGTGTAATACAAAATTTCAAATTTTCTTTCTACCATTTTAAAAATTACTAAAATTCGTGAAATTTCAGCGCTGAAATTTCGGACCGTGGCGGTGACAACCTGCACTTAATGGCCCCGTTCGCTTCGCTGAAAAAACAAGACAAAACACTGTTCCGACTAATTTGTTGTGAGAAAAAAACATTGTTCCAACTGAAAAACAAGCTGAAAAAGGCGAATTATAAGAGGAGCCAACAGACCAATGTTAGTCATCATGCGCTGACGCCTTGGACAGCAAGACAGATGATATAGGGCGCGTTTAGTTCGGCAAAGTTTGCATAGTGCACGATTCTCCACTGTAGCATTTCGTTTGTATTTGTGAATTATTGTCCAAACATTGACTAATTAGGTTCAAAAGATTCGTCTCACAAAGTTAAAACAAACTGTGCAATTAGTTTTTGATTTTGTCTACATTTAGTACTCTATGCATGTACTGCAAATTTGATATGACGGAGAATCTTTATTTTTGCATAGCGCACTTTTGGAGAACTAAACAAGGGGTATATATATATATATATATATATATATATATATATATATATATATATATATATATATATATATATATACACACACTTACAGTGTGTTCAGGCCCGGCCTTGGGGGGTTCGAGCTGTGCGGCCGAACAGGGCCCTCGACGCTAAGGGGCCTGACCCCAGATACGTAAGTAGGTATAGTATATTTGTTCTATGGCCCCAAAGCTAGAGCCCAGCAAGCTAGAAAGGCATGTACGTGGCTGCCAATTTGTCTTGCCTCACGTCGATTCAGCTAATTGGCTTCGCGATCGGCGACTCGTGTTCTGCACTTCCGTCAGGCGGCCGCGACATCTTCTTCCCGCTGCGACCTGCGACTCTGTGAGACTCTGGAGACTACGCTGTGGTGGTGCGTCGGCATCGCGTGCTCGCGGCAACAACTAGAACCAGCGACCGGCCGCTGGCCCACTCTTAGTTCCCGGTCTGCGTACGTACGGACGCAACGCATGTAAGAAATTGCCCCTAAGCCCCTTGATTGTGCTTGTGTATGTATGTCAAGTATATATTCTTTAGATTTGGGATTTAGGAATCCCTTACGGTGCAGCACGCATGTTTAGTACCACATTGAATTTTCTGAAATTCCGAAACTAAATTGAGTATTGTATAATTTTCTTAAATTACTTTCTAATTTCTAAATTTATAGTAAACTCATGTTGCCCAAAAAACATGCATGTGGAAGTAAGAAAACAAAAAAGAAGAAAGAGATAGAAGACTTCGTACAATCACAAGAAAAAAAAAATCATATATTATACTTATTTGAAACATCGTTATATTATTAGAGTTATATTAAAGACGGGCCCATTTTTCTAGCTCCGCTCCATGTCACTAGATTCACAGGACCGGGCCTGAGTGTGTTCCAAGATGAGCAGGGACATTTGAGTTGACAGCAAGAAACTCTATTCTACCGTACGTACACAAGCTGCACTGTGCACTAGTAATCGAGTGCCAAGGTTTAAGGCCTCGTTGGCTAGTTTGAAATTTGGCTGAAATTGTCTGAAAAATACGGGTTCAATTAATTATTATGAGAAAAAATACTGTTCTGGTTGATAAAAAGAAGCCGAATAAATCGAATATGGGGTAAGCCGAACGGGGCCTTAATGCCCAGTGACCGTTCGACCTCGGACTTGGGTCCTAGATTGCAGTCAGTATGTATATTTTTGTATTAGATTGCACTAGTAAGTAGTAATCGATCATCAGCCCATCTTTAACCATGGTTCGACTTCAGCAGAATGTTCATCATTGGCATAATCTAGTAATAAACCACAGCATTTCCTCTAATAACATACTGTATATACCTAGGCTACATGGCTTCGATCTGCGTGCGTGTTGAGGGAGAGAGGGTCAGAGGACCAGAGTCTGTGGACTGACAGGACCGACCAAGGAGGAAGAAGAATGATGGCGTGCGTATCTTTGGACCTTCTACCCCGGACTGCGTTGCGTCATCAATTCACGTCCATGTCCATCATCACACACGCTTGGATTCCTTCCCCTTGACAGCCAGCTACTCCCACTCCTCGTGTCTGCGGCTGCTGCAGAGGATGCATGCATGGCAGTAGATGACGCACAGCTAGTAGCCTAGCATTGACTCACTCCCGGCCGGTTTCCCGCCCGTCACTCCGTGACCATGAGAGGACGATCGAGGAGCTCAGCTCGCTCCAGGCGCAGGGCCGCCTATAAATGGACTCATAGTCGAGCGAAGGCGAAGCATAGCAGAACAAGATCGATCAAGCTCCATCTTCCTCCAGTCTTCCCCTTGCTTTCCATCCATCTGCTTCTGAAGGCCAACCCCTTCGGACTTCACTTCAGTGAGGTACTGATGAGGTGCCTGCAGTGATAGAGCTAGCATGCATTGCAAATACGACCTGCTTCAAGCCCTTTTCTTGTTTTCGTTTTGTTCTCTACTAATTATGTCCGTTCTTTCTTGCATCATGGCTCGCAGGGCTGCAAGAAGAGATGGAGCGGGTGAACACGAGCCTGTGCGTGGAGAACCTGCTCATCATGCAGGAGAACGAGCGGCTGCGGAGGCAGGCGCAGCAGCTGGACCAGGAGAACAAGGCCCTCCTCGCCGAGCTCAAGCAGCGCCAGGGCCAGGGCGCCGGCGGCCCTTCCGGCTCCGGCTCCGTCTCCGGTTCTGGTTCCGCCGCCGCCGCCAACCTCAAGGCGAAGGCGGCCGGCAAGCAGCCCAAGTGAGCAAGTGACCGCCACTGCTCGCGCATGCATGCAAGAGGATCGATGGTGGCGTGGAGGCCGCACGCACGCACGCTGCACTTGACTTTTGTAATTATTACTCCTAGCAGTTAGTGTAAGTTTCTGGAGCATGAGCATGCATGCATGCATATTGTTAGCTACCACTACTAGTAGTAGTACACCGCCCCTGTCGTTGGAGGAGGTTAGGAACTAGCAATGGAGATGGTTAGCCAGGTTTAGCTCAGTGTCATGCTGTCAGCGTTGTGTGTTTGTGGTGCATGTACGCATGCATGCTACGACATTTGTGGCCATGTTTGGTTGAGTTTTTAGCTTTGGCTTTTGGCCTTAAAAGCCAAAAGCCTAATCAAAGGGGCTGTTTTTGGAGAGTGTTTTTTTAGAAGCAGCTGTTTTTTTTAGTTCATTTTTGAAAGTTGGGTTGGCTTTTGGCTTTCTGCTTTTCGAAATTGATGGAATAAAAAGCTCTTCCATAGCTGTTTCAAGAGAGATAAAGATAAAAGATATTTTATATTTGTTTAACCAAACAGCTTTCAGCTTTTCTACAGCTCACAGCCCACAGCAGCTTTTCCACAGCTCACAACACACAGCAGTTTTTTCCCACAGCCACAGTTCAACCAAACAGCGCCTAATGTTTCCAGACCGAACGACCGTTGTTCCTGCGATGCAATGTGGTTGCTGGTTGTGACGCCCCGTTGACGCTGTGTCCAGCGTATAATCACTCATCAATACGTATAATGTTGATTGTCGAGGGCTTGAGGCACCTGTTCATTCCAGTTTTAGTTTTACTGCTATAGATCAGAATATAATACAGTAATTGGGACGGAATCTGTTCAGGTAAAGCTTGTTCCACACAAATTTCCAATATACGTCGAATTCATACTGTCCCTAGTTCATCAGATTCAATTCATTGCGCATCCCATGCATCAAACAGATTCACATCTCTACCACTCCGATGTCCGATCCTCTGTTCGTAGCACCACTCCAACTCTGCAAATACACCTGCATTTACTAGCTCCCTATCACAGTGTCAGTTCACAGCTAAGAGCTCCCAACAAATACAGGCGTACGTGTCCATCATTGCCCATGCATCCAAACTGGAGTCACCCTTGACGTCCTGTCAAGACCTTGAAGAAGGGTCGCACTGCAAAAATGAGTAAATAAAGGAGGGAAAATTCAATGCTGAAAATAAATGTTATTGGGCCAAAGGCCTTGTAAGTAGCTGGCCCATGCTGCGAAGGCAGGGTTTGTGCGCGTGGGCTACAGGCCCGGCCAGGATGTGATCCCTAATCGAATGGACGTCTCCAACCTTGCCCTGGTCGTCTTCTTCCTCAGAGCAACAGAGTGCTGTACCTCTGCAGGTTTCTCCCTACCAATTATACAATTTAGTTATCTGTTACGGTCAAGGACTATATATATATAATAACAATCGTATCACAGCCATCTCACTATCACCGGTTGTTCTTGTGAGGCGTGTCGTCGTCGTCGTGTTTGGCACCTGCTTGCAAACCGACCGACGAAGTAGTAGCAACGTTCCTTCTATTTATGGAGCATGATATCAAACAAGCGAAGAACAAGAAAAATACATTTGCGCCATTGCACAGCTTTTTTAGGATTAAAGAAAGATTAACTTCCACAAAAGTAGGTTATTTTGCTACGGGGAGGCTAAAAACTTCATGGACCAGTATTCAGAGATCTTTGGATGTGTTATGGCCAACTTCGATTTATTTACTTTGGCATTACAATAAACCATACAAAACTCAATAACAATAAGGATTGGAAAGCCATTGAAGATCTTTTCCAAAAAAAAAAATGCTAAGCATCTAGAAAGGAATACTAGTTTTTTCTTATGACGACCGACTAGTTCTAGTAAACTCTTTTTTGAGCAGTCATGCGATACATACGATGTCCTATCGCTCCAATGGCGTGTTAGTCATATGGTGTCCTTCGGATTAGTCCAATCTCCTTTGGCATGGGCTCCGGCAGAATAGAATGACGAACCGCCACTCACACGAGAGCTTATTAGAAACGTATATGCTATGGAAATTACCACAATACCCTTGAGTTCACTGTTTTCTTAAAATTACGAGTACCGTGATGGTACTTTTTTTCCAACCGTTATAACAAAGCTCAATTGATACAAGTTTATCATACATACAGTATAATATATAGCTTTCGGCAACAGAATCATTTCTCGAGGTGTTGTGCCAAACACACCCCACGGCATACAGATGCAGTTTATGAGATCCGAGTCCTACGAGGTGTAGCACCGTTACGAGACTCCCTATCAAACGGTCACGCAGTTGAGGACGGCGAGAACCATTCGGTAACATGGTCAAACTAGAAACCCCTTATACAGCATCTTTTCATAATCTTCGAATGGATTCAAACGTAGGATGGGCCGGATGCGCTCCTATATATGATATTGATTCCTTCGTCAACCAAGATTTTCCACTTCCATCACTTTCAAAGAGTCCGTAGCCACCTCCGTCTGCGCAGTGACATGAGAAGAATTAATGTTTCAAAATTCAAATTGATCAAACCAGGCTGCTGGCAGCTGTTGATTGCAGCTCGCTCACAGTCACAGAACGAATAAGCAAGCGAAAGTAAGGAAAACCATATATTTTATATTGAAAGAGAAGTAACATATATATTACCCCAGCAGATTGAAGAGGGCGCTGCTGAGATTGGTCTCCAGGTAGCGAGGATCCTACGTGACTGTGAAAATTCCATTTGGACCATTACGGGTATGGGCCTCCACACGATGGATATGGCAGAACTTATTCCAGTCGTAGGTGGATTTTCCCAAAGCCATTGAACAGAGCAGCGGTAGGTCACAGCACAGGTACAAACGGGTGAGGTTGAGACCCCGCAGGTATCTTGGGAGTCTTCTCATGCTGGAACTCTGCAGATTAAGGTATCTAAGTGCTGGGACAGCCTCTAAGACAGACAGTCGCGAGCAGCAACTGATGACAAGCTTCTTCAAACTTGGGAGGTTGGTGATTCTTCTTAGACAGTGGCAGCACTTCACGTTAAGTTCAATGACACAAGGAAAGTTGTCCAGGTAGGAAAGCCAATGAACATCGCGCAGATTCAACATCTCGAGCGTCCTTGCATGGTAGGAAAGTCCAGGTGAAGTCGTGTCAGTGATCTGCAGTTGTCGAGTGCAAGTTTCAACAAGACTGGCATGGCTTCAAGCAGCTCCTCACACTCCCACTTCCACTCCTCCCAGCGAACCATTCTGATGAAGATCAATTCTTTCAAACTTGGGAATGATACCGACACACGGGAATGGCGCTTATTATTGTGGTTGTGGGTGTGGCGCATCAATTCTGGGCCAACATGCTTGATGGCTGGAGCATGACGAACAATCAATATCTCTAAACAGGGAAGCTGACACAAGCCATTGGGGAGCTGGGTACAAAGAGCAAGATTCGACAGTTCCAAAATCCGCAGCCTCTCCAGAGACACTCCTGTCATTGACATAACCCATTCTGGAAGTCGACGCCCAAAATATCCATCAATGGTCAAATGATTTATGCAACCTGGAGGACAAAGCTCAGCAAATACCTCCTCAATGTGCCGTTCTTCCTCCTCTGTGACAACTCTTTTGACTGACCCGCCATCATCTTCTATTATACTGCTGCACTTCAAGGCCAAGCGGCCAAGGTGCTTCTTGCTACGTAGCATTGCCTTTGCAGCTAAGGAGCTGGGATGTACATTCTCCAATCCTTTCACTGAGAGATCCCTAAGCTGAGAAAGAGGACCTAGCTCTTCCAAAGTACACCAACCATTTGCACCACCATCCATGTTGGCTGGAAAGTTGAATATTTTCCTCAAGTTTGTCAGCTCACCAAATTTCTTTGGTATAATATTTACCGCTTCACCGAGATAAACAGACCGCAGCTGCTTTAACTTTACAATGCCATTAGGAAGTCGTACCATTTTCTCACCACCACTAAGGCCAATATGCTGCAACAACTTCAGTTGGCCAATTGTATCTGGTAGACTAGATATTTTAGTACTTTCTATGGTCAAGTACCTTAAGAGCTTCAGTTCTCCCAGATGGTCTGCTAGTAATGGAATAAAATCGGCATTATCTAAATGTATTGTGCGTATTCTGGATAATCTACTCAAAGAATCTTATGATTAAACCTGATAGGGCAAGAAGATACTGTTAGACACAACAGTGCCTCTAAACCATAGATCAAGGGTAGGCTTTTCTCTTAGATGTGAAAACTGTTGATATACCTTGGTCTAGGTCACCATTCGGTCCATGGCGCCACAGCGGCTTGGATGACGGTGACCTGGCAGCTCGGTGCAGTGGTTCCAGCGTAGTGGAGTCGAGGTCCAGTGGCGACGGCGGAGTCGGTGGGGCTTCTCCTCGCTGGCAGCACTACTGTAGATCGGATTAGGTTTTTTGTTGGTGGATCACGGCGGCTCAGACCAACCTCGTAGTTCGAGCCGTGATCCCCACCTCGCTTTTATATGTGCTGTGCGACAGGGGCCCACCAACCATATTAGGGTTGGACGCCCCCGATCAGGGCACAGAGACAAGGGCCCAAGGCCTATTGGTGGAGATCAACTAACATTCTCCCCTTTGATCTCACTACCATCTTTCAATTTCATATCATTTACTTTGTTCATTCCATTACAGATTAGCGCATAGAGCATGTTTCATCGTCACGGTCAATTGTCAATAGATTTAACAGCTATAACACACCACTATGTTCTAAAATAGATACTTAACTTTGGGCCTTCTTTTATCCAGGAATTTTAGGCTTTCCTTAAACCCATGCGAGCTACATGTTCTCTGAACACGTTGGGTGGCAAGCCTTTTGTAAGCGGATCCGCGAGCATCTTTTCGGTACTTATATGCTCAAGACTTATGACATGATCCCGGACTTTATCTTTCACAATAATATACTTTATGTCAATGTGTTTGGCAGCACCACTTGACTTATTGTTGTGAGCATACTGTACTGTCG